ATTCTAAATTACTTTATGAAGTAAATGATTCAAAGTTCATGGATTGCGCACTTACCAAGGTCGTTTAATCGTTCAACAGTTCTGGTTAAGGCTATTTCAAGTTTGACCTCAGCCTAAGCTTGAAGTGAGCATTGTTTATACTCTCCGCTCCTATTCTTACTTAGCATTTCTTAAATGTCATGCTCCATATAGTTTGTCGCTTGAAGATTGCTCCTGTTCTCCCCGTAAGTGAAGAGAAGTTCCAGTTTCTGACTGACTGTAAACTTCCACTCTCAGTATCGTTGCCTTGGAGCCTTACCTGACGTGTTAGAATTGCACTGCTCCGTTTGACCCATGTGTTGAGCACGAGTAGCGGGCGGCTGCGTTGTCGACTGGTATCTTCATCATCTTTTTGTCGATCTCTGGCAGTTGTCACGGTATTTCTACGCCCCTTCCAGTTACCAGAAGGCGAGAAGCAAGTTCTGATCGCCGCCGACTTTTGGCCATTCACAACAGTTAAAATGTTCTCCAACAGCTTGCATGACTCTTTGTATCCCTGGCGACGACCGAACCCGTGTAATGTTCGATTAAGTTCAATACCATCAATGCTGAATGGCTAAGTTTTACGGGAGACCTCTTCACGGTCCCAAACCTTCCCCCTTTCTGATTTGCGGTTGGGTTCAGCAATGGCAATGTTGCATAGATAAGTGGTTCGTACAACAAGTCTGAAAGATTGGAGCGTATCCACGATCCGTGGATGTGGTGTTAAGCTTGAGTGGTGAACCCTGGCCAGCTTTTAAAAAGTTTCAGCCCTGTAGCGGAGCTGACTCAATGAGTTGTATCCGCAGACAGATTTGGATCGCTAAAAGACAATGCTGCCGTGAGGGAAGGAATTAAAGCATGGTTCTGGAAACAGGAAGTGGGATCCCGATACTGTCTTTGGAGACGAAGCTGAAGTCTGGGTATCAGTGAGCCTTCCATCTATCTAATCTAAGAGTACTTCAGTGTTTATCATCATGACACAAGTGTACGTTAGCTTCTGATGTCCTGACAGCTTTCAGTCGCTTTCGTAATCAGCCAGCTGGATGAGGCAACGTTGGCATCGTTGTTATTGGCCAGCTAGTTCCAGGTAGCTTGTACGCGTTTATTATGGCATTTTCTCTAACTTTCACTGTAGTAAATTCGTGTCCTTTTAGTTAGATTCCGTATTTACCTATCCAATGTTCGCCAACGCGTCATCGTCCTCAGGCTTAAGTAGCTAAACCTCATAAAGCTATTGGTGTTAGCTGCCATATTAAACCCTTCGATGTGCGTTTCTGCAGAATAGCGATGTTAATCCTGTTTTCTTTCGACTCCTCTACAGGTATTCGCATTTTGCGTAGGAGATGTCTTTGACATCTGACTGGAAAATGCTGAGCGTTCAACCCACGGTTTCACGTCCAATTTTCTCTCTTACGATGCCAGCTGGGTTTCTTTGTTCTGATTCTTTGGCCTTCATATAGACCGAATGGTTTCTCTGCTCTTCTTCTACGGATCTCATAATATCCGTTATTTTTATTCGTACCGGTTAACATTTTTGGCAGTGAGATGGGCCAATGCGTTTTATCACTAATCAAGCCGATAGATTGCTTGTGCAACGTTTGTTTGCTTGGTGATGACATTCGTTGTATGGTCAAGCTTTGGCGCACTTTCACAATACCTAAGAACATGACAGTATGAAGGTCGTCGTCGTTCTCCTTGCAGGCGTTCAGAACTGATGTTTAATGGTTGGGTCTTTTCCACAGCGAACAAATCTGCAAACGAGCGAAAGTATGGAAGCAATAATGTAACGTTAATTTTGAAATTACTACTATGCCTAATATATGCACTGAAAGCACAGCGGGGCTTTATATTCGAACATATAGCTTCAGTTTGTCTATTTTTGAAAGCTCGTTCGCAG